AAATAAATCTGTTTCAGGAGCTTGGAATTGATGAACAGGACGAGATGTGTGCGTGCGGTTCTGGTCTCTCAACGTGTGCGCCTTTTTTTTTTACAGAAGGAGCCTATCCGATGTCTATGTGAAATGCTTGTGTTTGGATCAAGTTCAAATTATGCAAAAAAATAAGAAAGAGAATGGAATATAACCTTGCAAACCAAACAACCAATCTTCTCTAAAAAAATTTAACATAGCAAAAAACGGCCTGCATTCGAATATTTTAAGAACTTCCATCTGATGATTGTGCGAAGCTGAAAGAGGTGTCATCGGAGTACATGAATGCGGCTTCATAATAAAAATTTAATTGTGGATGCCAAAAACTTTACCATCATCGACGAGAGGACGACATTGCGAACATTAAAAGTGCCAACATGAATGAATGACTCACTAGAAAAGTGTGACGATTTTTTTCTTAAAGCATGATATGCATTTCTTTTATACCTCGACATGCCATGGGTGTTTGGTGGACATTAAATTTTTGGGGACATTTAAAATGTGTTTTGCCTTTGGAAAATGCTATGTAATTTTCAAATAATGTTATTGCATTTTAAATGTTTGTGTAGTTTTAAGAAAAGTATTCACGTATATTCATATAATGTTCATATAAAATGTTCGCTCTTCTTTAAAAAATGTTCATGTAATTCTAAAAGGCATTCAAATGCTTCAAAATATATTTATAATTTAAAAAATGTTCATGCTCTATTTAAAAGGCCCATGTGATTTAAAAAGTGTTTATGTGTTTTGGAAATAAAGTTGATGCATTTTGAAAAACAGACGTACAACTTCAAAGTGAGTGCTCTTTTTAGCTCATGAGGAGTGGCCATCATGTCCAGCTCGATAAATTAGTTTTAATAGTATTATACTTCCGCTTGCTATGGCCCGGTTCAATAATAGGTGTGTCATGTGGTGGTCGAGATAATCACCTTGTGATTGACCATGTTTGGATGCATTGTGATCATGTCAACACCGCGATCATAGTCGGTAAGGGCGGAAAGGAGGATAAGAGACAACACATGTGAGGTGCTATGGTGAAATAGATAGCGTGGACCTATGAAGGGTCCTTGAGTCATGCTTATTGCTGTAGGAACATACGATTTTTTTTCTTCCGTTGCAACGCACGGGCAACTTTCCTAGTTAAATACAACTGTACAAATTACATCGTTGCCATGCCGGACCTAAATAAAAAGGATCCATGAGTATAAAGACACAAGGGTGGGCCTTTGGGCCAAACCCACACACGCACGGTACACACACTCAGCCCAACAATTACTAATTAGTGGGCCTGAATGCAAAAAATATCAGTTGCAATGACAAGGTCTACCCAACTTTGACAGTACAAAATAGCAGGGCATGTAGTTGTCCTTACATTGCCTAAAAAAATGTAGTTGTCCTTACAATTGCCATGGAATCACGCAATCACTAATAAAGCACATCAATTAAGATAAACTTAGTCCTAAATCATGCGAAATACTTACAATCACACGCTCAAGCAGCAATAGCACACATAATATTTCAAACAGAAGCTCAAATTTGATAAGAGAAAAGAAAAGGAATATCGGAAAGGTGCCATAGCACCCGGGTGTCCCGGCACCCCCTTATCCGGTGGGTTCGGTGCTTTAAAGATTCGTGCCGGGGCCTAACAGCAACAGGCCACTTGCGCTGTCATGTGAATTAAGCAGTCAATTTGCAGAGTCAAGCAGGGGCCGTCCAACCAGTAACCCTATTTCAAAGGCATGCAGAACCACTAAACCATTAGAAGAGATGGCTCAATACGCTTCCATTTTCAACAAGATGGACCACAAAAACAATTGCTGCCAGGAAAGGACTAACGGGCTCAGGTAGTCTTATTCAGATAAAATGAGAATACTCTTGCAGGACAAAAATAAACAAGAGAGTTGGACCTGGTACTCTTTAGCATTCATCCCAAACAACCAGAAAAAATAAGGTTTAATTTTTGCAATGCAGTGTAATATTCAAGAATTATAACAAGATGTAATGCCTTCACAGAATATAGTCAAACGATACAACACAATGGTATAAACAAATCAAGTGTTCAGTTATGATCAAGAATTTCACCAAATGCTGCGAGTGGCACTTGTTCAGTTATTGATGGCTGCAGCTTGATACCTTCTTCACCTGCCAACCTAGACCTTAAAGATTGCCTTTAAAGTTCAGTTTAGGCTGGTCAGCCTGCAAAGCATCAAAAGATAATAAGCGTGTGTTAGGAACAATCAACAACTCATGTCATTTTAACAGAATTTTGCTATAGACCAAATCCTCATGCAAAGGTAAACATTGGCAAAACATTGTACCAATTCACAAAAGTATTTGTCCAACTACATAGCAAGAGCAAGCAAGTCAAACCTAACAACTCCAAATAATTATCATATTGTCACAAACCATACTTGTGCAAGATAAGAGCCGGAAATGACAAGTAGCATATGAGGAGACAATTGGCTGTTAACTAGAACTGAAGTTTCGAGAATTGGACAATGCCAGTTGACACAATGAAAGAATAGCTCATCAGTGATTCAACATACATAAAGCAATCAGTATGACAACATCTAAAATAGGCAAAGGTGGAACCATAAATCAGCATTACTTCTGGCATGAAATGTTCTGTTGTAGATGGATTATATTTTAGCCCGTCGGGAAAAAACTTGTCAAATGCAAATCCAGGTCATTACTGAAACTACCTCATAGGCATGAACTAGGAATCATGTTCTGGCAGTCATCCAAACTTTTCCTAGTGCAGGAAATTTCAAGCTACAAGAATCTATCAGTCTCATAGCTTATAGCCAAATTTACTACCTCATCACAACAAGAAAATCTTTGCATGTCCACACAACAAAACAAGGTTGAAAAAATGAGACAACAGAACTGAAATTTCAAGATGCATACCTGTATAGACCAAGAACGAATAGAGAACAGAGCACAGTGGCAGCCTCTAGCTGCGACTCTAAGGCAGAAAGAGATACAGACTGCAGTCACCAAGCAAAGAGAATAGGGATTACAAACACTGATGCAATGGTTCCAATTAGATACCGGATAACCATGTGGCACAAAAAAAATTGTATGCTGTAGATTCGACTCATGATACGGCGCGTCTATTCTTGTATGCAGTTTAGGGTTCAAGCTGGAGCGATCATGGTTATAGTTGGGTTCCAACTTGGTGGTCACTGTGATATTAGTGCAAGAGACCTACTCGGTGAGAATAGAGAGCTGCTTACTAGCACGTCAGATCTTGTGCACATAGTGCATTTGTACTAAAGAGCCACTAGGGATCTCACTCGCTGGGTCAGCTTATTAGTGGTGGCGTAGTGCATGTGTACACATGTCTACAGTGTTCATGCTTACATTTAATGCTGACAAAATTAGACTTGTAAACTGGCAAGGCTATTCGGATGTATTCCTTGCTTGGACAAAGATCGATCAATAAAACTCATATTGAAGTAAAGGAAGGAAGCATTGTAGCAGCTGCCAGAAGTTGACATCAGAAGTTCAGATGCCAGTATTGATATGCGAACAGATGGGCCAAATCTAGTGGAGAAGGCAGAATGGATGAAGCCTAATACCATGACAGGTAACAAGAACCAAACAGAAGAATTTTCAAATATTTGAACCAAACAGGATTCCTAATTAAATTGCCTAGGCTGGCCGGGTGTTATGACTTATTATGTAAACTGTAAGAACCTCAATCTTGTAGATTGATATGAATACAGGATGCACCCAAATTGGATAGTACAAACAAGTACTACCGCCATCCCAAATTATACTTATAATTTGGAACAGAGGAAGTAAAACAATTTGGATGAAGGGTATTCTTCCAACTGTAGCAGCAATCAAGCAGGAGGGCACATGAAACCAAATGAATGGCACTGAGTAGAAACGACAAGAAACGCTTCAAACAGACAGATCAACACTGGAAACCAACAGTCAGAAGCCACAATGGAGACAAGGTTTGATGCTCTCACCAACCTGAAGGATGTATGCTCAGCTTGATGCTCCAATCACAGCAACCGCCTGCAACTGAAATTGAACTGAACAATATAATGACATGGACCATCAAAGATATATCAGCATGCAATTGACATCACATTAACAGCAGTAGCCATAGCAAATATGAAAAGAAAGGAGATAAGACGTTTCATCGAATATGCCTTACTGCATTTGCACTCTTAACTATACATGCTTACCACATTGTCAGTATTGCGAAATGCCAGAATGTTTCGAAACTTATAATACCTACTAACATCAACACAGAGCATAACAATTATCCAGACCTTCCCAGGAATACCACAATGAATAAAATCAATGAAGATTGAAAAATATCAATATATAGTTCATTAGTATGCCAAAGGCTCAAGTAAACCAGAGCATGGTAAAGAAATACAGGAACATGCAAACTCAGCAAGAAAATATTACTATTGTCACTCATCACAGGGTTTACACTATACAGTACATCCATCAGAAGAATCAGTCCATGTGATTCTGAATTTACGAAGGACTCGCTATCTAAATTGTAAGTTCGAGAAAGACGATGCCAGTCTAACATTAGAAAGAATCAAACACTTGACACAGATAGAACATGTCTGATGAAGTCCGACATACCGATAGAGCTATAAGTAATATTGTAACATGTTTGCATTTAGGTGGATGCATGTGCGCTAATTCTTCATATCCTGTTATAAATCTGGACAAGGCCATGTACTGTGTAGACAATGAAAATTGGAAACAAAGGCAGAGAATTTGCCTGTCAATAACAGTGTGTATGCAGTGAACACCTACTATTTCTGGATACTGAAACTTTCAAATCAATAATTTGAACTTCCAAACATAGATTATAACATTTACAACTGGAATCTGAAACCTTTCAAACTCAGGAAAGTACCAAATTTAACTTGAAAAAGAAAACAGAAGAGAACATTTGACTCATAATACATGGTTCAAGAAAAATAAGTTGGCTACATCCAGAAAGCCACAGGAGTGAAGAATATCTCATTTAATTCATGTCCTTCAGTCATCTGGTAGGAGCGCGCCGTTCGCCGCGTCGTCCTGAGCTCTCCATTTTTATCATACTTGAGACTAAACTTGGTGAAGTGCAGCACACGGCGGCGCGGCCCATCACAGGGTCCGAAAGGCTCCTGATCCTTGTGCAGGCGAGACTCGATCAGGCAGTAGTCACTGATGCCGCCCAGGTAGAGAAGGGTGGCCCCTAGGTGCCTTTCGTCTGCATTGAAGAGCTGGTCCCCGAGCTTCCAAGCTGGCATGGTCGACATTGAAGTGTAATCAGCCATTGGCGGCACCTCGCAGGAGCAGACGTAGCCGACTCCGCCATTGTGGCGGCAGAGCCCTACCCAGGCATCAAGCTTGTCATCAAAGTAGGCCTGGCCTTTGAAAGGCATTACCCAGTTGCCTGGGGTCATCCAGGCGAGGCACTTGGTGTCCAGGACGAAGGTTCTGGCTGCTTTGGAGACGAAAAGCAACCGGTCGTTGGGGTGCACTGCAAAGGACACAACTTCACCGGACATGAACGGAGCCAATTTGTGACTTTTGGTCCAAGAGCACTGCTTGCCTTGCTCAGTTCTGCGGGGTGGCAGGGCGTCGAGCACATACACGGAGGATCCCAGCATCAAGTAATGCTCGCCACCTACAGACGCGAACAAGGGCTTGGGACTGCTGCCGTCTGGAAGGGAGCAGAGTTTGACCCCCAGCGTTTTTGTGTCGAATATGGGGATGGGGCGGGTGGCATCGCTGGGGCCCAGAATGGCGAGTATGCTCGTGCCGTACGCGCCAAAGTGCGACAGGCGGCAGTGGCGGCCGTAGAAGCGCACGACAGGGGGATCTGGTAGGGGCTCCGCCTCGTCATCGTCATCCAGGTCGGCGCCGGCGTCAGAGTACATGGCGTCGATGTCTATCTTGCGGACGCTGTATCCACTTTCCCAGTCATCCACCACGAGATAGACATGCTGTCGCAACTGCTGCAGCTGCGACGGCGGCGGCCGCCGCCGCTTGGCTGTGTGGCAACACGGCTGAAGAGTCAGCTGCCGCTTTGACATGCCGTCGAGTTGCTATGCCCCTCCTCTCCGGCGGTCCTGTGTTGCAAGCCGGCGAAGTGATCGAGCCCGTAGAGTAAGAAATCAAGACCGGCTGGACATATAAATAGGCGAAAGAAGATGGTACCTGAATTCGAGTCAGATTGGCTCAGGCAAAAATTCCCCCCGCGAAGGAATCCGCCATCGGATTGGACTCAGGGAAACGCCTCCCCGCCAATCCGACTCCCAGCTGGCGGCGGCGGGGGAGGGAGATTGGGGTCGGGGGGGCTGCGGCGTTGTGGCGTCCCTCTATACATTTGAGAACCCTAGGCCGCGCGTGAGCTTCACTGGGTTGGCCTTGGCCTGAGGGTTGTTTATTGGGCTCTTTGCAAGACTCGGACTCATCCGGTAGAATTTGTTTTTAATCTATATCTATACTACTATTAAACAATCAAACAAGAACTTCTTTAAGCACACCTCACAAAGCATACATAGATCCAATATCACCATACGATTAGGCCCACTAAAATCAATCTAACGGTTAGCCTTAACCTAAACCATTTTCTGTGTGCACTTAGCAATTTACATTGACTGACCGTACTTCACCGTGGAGGAAAATATAAAACTCCACGCCTGAGCAATTAGGAAACTAATAATCACGGATTCATCCTATTCTAGAAAACTAAATCAAAGTGCATCCATACTATTAGGAAACTAATCTCACACAAATATATACTATTATTAAACAATCAAACAAGAACTTCTTTAAGCACACCCCACAAAGTATACACAGATCCAATATCACCGCACGATTAGGCCCACTAAAATCAATCTAACGGTTAGCCTTAACCTAAACTATTTTCTGTGTGCACTTAGCAATTTACATTGACTGACCCTACTCCACCGTGGAGGAAAATATGAAACTCCACGCCTGAGCAATTAGGAAACTAATAATCACGGATGCATCCTATTCTAGGAAACTAAATCAGAGTGCATCCATCCTATTAGGAAACTAATCTCAGACAAATCCATCCTATTAAAAAACTTATCTCGGACACATCCATCCTATTAGGAAGCTAATCGCGAGCCGCCTGCCGCCATCATGCACGCTAGCCACGATGGGGGAAGCGCGAGGAGCTTCGTCTTCCTCTGGAAACACACGTGCTATCGCCGCCATCGTCTTCTGTTTGGAGGCCAGGCGCTCTTCTGCCGCTACTGCGACGACTCCATCCACGTCCAGGGCATGCCCTCCGGTAACCATCGGCATCTGCGTTGACTTCAGCTCCGTTCGCAGCACCCACGCCGACAAAGTGTCTGTTCAGTGGATGCACGTGCATTACATATTAAATAAGAATCGTGGGGCTTCAAGCGATCTAGAATTATAGATTTGGGATTATTTTAGGTTGCCGACTGCTGTACTGAAAATGTGTAATTATATATGGCATGTACATAAGAATGCAGCAATCTTGTCTTACAAAGTAGGATCAAGAGGGATACTGAAGAAGTCAAGATGCAGAGTCTATTTCCCATGATTATTTCTCATGTTCATGTCGGCTTCCTTGGGCTTTACTTCGTACCACCATATGCATTAAACTTGACCGTATTAAGAGGTAACGACATCCCCTTGATTAAAATTGCCTTATTTGTGCTATTTGATCAGTGTGTGTTTTACGTATGACGTTATTTTACCTGGAATTAAGGTGGGTTGCACCTGCCTAGGCACTATCTCCAAGGATAGGTTGGAAATCAGAATATATGATTCATTCTTAGAGAAAACTTTACACGCGTCACTTTAACATAATTGCATAGCAATCCAGTAAATTATGTAAGATTCAGTAGGAGGCAAGATATTGAAGATGTACTACTATTTCAGTTACATAATTCTATACATCTAAAACGGGTCACATGCTGTTTAAGGCCTTATTTGCACCGCCTCTCTTTCTTTGTCTGCGCGCCTCTTTCCTCCAATAATAATAATGAACAACTTTTTTCGGATCAGGTATTACACAGTTACAAATGTATGCTGAAGCTACTCCTTACAACAAGGAAAAAGAGGATGAATGCTTTCTATCTTCACCAGTTTTGTAGCATGTTGCAAATTGTTGGCTCTTTCATATTTGAGGATTCATCATTTTTTTTTATAATTTAGAAGCTGACCTGAAAGCTTGATAAGGTTAAGCTTGACAAATACCCTAGAATACTTTTCCTTCCATCTTTATTTTTTTTCATAACTCATTTCAGTTTTTATACGTACAAAGCGTCTTACATCATTGTAAGTTAGTATGGTTGCCAACGCATAAACACATACAAAACCGGATAAATATTTTCTATCATGATAATTATTGGATTTCTTTTATCCCTTTTGCATTTCAATTAATTCTTATAAATCATCTTTATTTCATATAGAAGTCGTTTTAGTCACATATCATCTTCTATTTCCTATTATCCATCGTAGGTAGCTATATAATTTTGGCAGTCCACACAACCAATATATAATTTGATCCATATTAGTACAAATATATATTTTGCTATGCAGATTAGTAGAATCAAATAAGATTCGAGAATTAAGCATCTTGAACAATATAATTGCACCATAAGGCAGTTTAAACTTTTTTTTCCTGGCTACACTCGAAGAGAAGACTATACTACATGCCTATATTACTGCATTAATAAATAATTGCTGATTTTATTTAAATGAGAATATTTTCCTGCTACTACTCTATGCAGCAACATAACCACTATTGTGTCTTGCTTTTGAAAATACAATTTGAGCGACATCTAACATTGTGTATCCATTTGATTTATATTTTTAAAAACATTTATTTTTTTATATTATGTGAATTCATCTGTTTTACGTTTGAGACGTGCGTTGCACGTGCATGCTTACTAGTAAGTTCTCAAAAGAAAATCTGATGGGAAATATTTACTCAACAAAAAAATCCGATGGAGATGTTGGGGACCGGTGAGCGTCTGGACGGCGAGCGCGGAGTCGGGGATGGTGGTCGCGCATGGTGTCCGAGAGGGACTTGAGGCGACTGATGTACACCGAGACGGATTGGTCGTCCTGGAAGGTGTTGTGTTAGTCCTGCTGGGCGTAGACATGGCGATACATGTGATTGTTGGGGAAGACAGCGCTGATGGCGGTCCAGAGGGTGTACGCCGTGTGATCTCGCTTGATGACGATCTCCAGGACCTCCTTGCAGATCGTGGCATAGAGCCAGGAGACGATGAAGAAGTCCACCTTGGTCCAGAGACCATCAGCACGTCGGGTGTGCCGGTGCCGTCGACGTGATAGACGATGCCGAACTGGCGGAACGTCACCATGTACAAGGTGCTCTAGGTGGTGTGGTTGGATTCCTCCATGTCTAGGATCATGGTGACCGGAGAGCGGGGGTGATGTAGGATGTTGGCAGAATCATAGGGAAGGGAGGAGGAACTGGCCGGAGCAGCGAAAGGGTTGTCCTTGGCGGCGGACTCGGCAGTGGAGCCAGAGTGAGAGCCAGCCATTGCAGAGAGGAAGGTGCGGAAGTGATGGATTGGGATGATGGTAACTGATACCATGTAAGAGGCAAGGATGAGGTTCAAATGTTGCACAGTTCTATTCATCTCATACGGTTACACACACACACACACACACACACATATATATATATATGGATTGCTAAAACTCAGCTAGCTGAGATATAATTCGGTCTTATTCAGATTGTTAACCGTCGGATCAAACACACCGAGATTCGTGGAGGACTACTGTCGAATACTGGTTTCAATTGTGCAGCGATGCACACGGCCCATTTTCATTATTTTTATGGCCTGGTGTCGCGTCGTATGGTCTGAGGCCCACGCATGCAGTGCCTGGAGCAGGGGAGCTCATATACGGTGTTGCCGGCACACGTTCGTGCTCCGCGCTGGGCTGACCCATGAAATGCGAAGCCTGGCGAATGCAAAAGCTCGCAAAAAAAACGCGAAAAAAATGCTATATTCAGGTTTCGGACTCACCACGTCGAGTTCGCATACAGTTACCACCAACCACACAAGCTACTTGCTTTCTATGATTAGTAACAGAGGCAAATGCTTAATAACAATGCTGCAGCGCTGTTTCATTGCAAAAATCTATCGCACCACTTAATTTTTATGAATAAAGAATACATCAATTTGAAAAGGCATTCGTATAATCCATGAACTGAAAGGATAAGTTCACAAAAAGGAAAAAAGTTCATGAATTCAAAAAATGTTCATCAAATTTGAAAAAAGTGCGTGAATTTGAAAACAAAATCATCGAATTTGAAGAAAGTTCATAGAACTTGAAAAAAGTTCATCAACTTTGAAAAAGTTCATAGAATTCTAAAAAAATGTTCATTGAATTTCAGGAAAAGTTCATCGAATTTGAAAAAGTTCATCAAAATTCAAAAAAGTTCATCAAATTTGAAGAAAAGTTCAGCAATTTATAAAAAAGTTCATCGATTTTCAAAAAAATTCAAAAATTTAAAGAAAAAATTCAGGAATTAAAAAAAGCGCGCAATAAATAAAACAAAAAAAGATGAGGAAAAGGGAAAAATTATAAACCGAGCTGAAGAACGAAAGAAAAAGGTAAAAGTGATCTACCTTTACACTCGTGAGCGGATAGCCTAGTGGCTAGAGCCGAGCCTTTACATCGGAAAGGTTGTGACTTCGATCCCCCACCCAGCGCTCTTCTTTGACCTTTCCGTAACGTTTATGCTACATGCCTCGTTACTTCGCTGTTGCTTACTTTTTTTCTTACTTTTTTTGTATAGTTGTTAGTTTTGTTTGACCATGTATAATATTTGTATTTTACAGATCCTTTTTTGTATGGAACTTGACACTTTAGAGGCACACAGCTTTTTCCTGTAAAAAAGGTGCAAAAATTGTTTAAACTGTTTCTTTATATGGTATATCATTAGTTTTCCATTTTTTGTTTTATTGTTTGAAAAATCTAGCTTTTTCCTTCTATATGAAGCTTGTATTTTTCTATTTTTGCAGATTGCTTTCTTTATCAATCATTTAAA